CTGCAGTGTTGTTGCCAGCACTGCAGTGTTGTTGCCAGCACTGCAGTGTTGTTGCCAGCACTGCAGTGTTGTTGCCAGCACTGCAGTGTTGTTGCTAGCACTGCAGTGTTGTTGCCAGCACTGCAGTGTTGTTGCCAGCACTGAAGTGTTGTGGACAGTGTTGTTGCCAGCACCGCAGTGTTGTGGACACCCACATTTCAGTGAATGCCCTCACAGGGAATTCGTTCAGACACGCCATGGATGAGGCCGCATGAGGCAAACATTCGGTTAAGTTATTGCAGGTAAATTTCTCAGCGCCATTTTAGCTCAAGTTACGAGCTATCATAGCTGTTGACATTAGTTCATATCCATGTAATACGCATCCCAATCAAAATTTACGAAACGCTTCAGCTCTGTTCCCAGACGCAACATTCTCCTTGGAGATATCCTGGTTCGTGTTGGGTGAGCATGCAAGCTGCTCAAGTCCTGCATTTAAAACCCCTTACTTAGGCCCATTGTTCTAAATTTTCTGGAATTTTCATTGTATTTAGTAACTAGGAAAAACAAACATTTAAAATAAATAACACTTGTTTTCAACTACCTACACCTACTATAGCGCCTCTTACTATAGTGGCAGAGAGGTACAAATTTATTAAGATATTCATCTTCGCTGGTTGCTGTGCGACTTGGGTTAGATAGTAAAGTCTGAAACTGGCATGAAGTGACTGATGATCATGAAGGCCTATTAATCAATTAATCATTAATTATTATGTTAATTTTCATCATTAATCAAAACTATTGATCATTATGTTCCCCTTTCCTTGCTACTATACTTATGTTCCTTTATTGGATTACATTCCCTTGTCTTGATCCCATTATTGAACATGAGTCCATGGAGGAGCCTAGGAGCAGAAGCTTCCCCAATCTTTATTTTTTTGGGGGGGGGATTTGTCTTCGAGAATAACTACCTACCTATTACCTTACCTTCCTTCACCTACCTCCACTCAATAGTGACACATTAAAAATTAATGTTTACTAAAAATCCCTGTGCGCCGTTTATTTCTAGTTGAAAATTTTAACATAATCTGACAAGTGGTAATCAGATTATTGATAGGAGATAGGATGAAGAAGGTATAGCATAATTTATCTCTGTTCTCGAAGACGGAACTTTCGACCATGTCACTTACTAATGCCACGCAAAAGTCAACGTCAACTCACCGTCTACCCTCGGCCCGCGTGTCGCCCTCCCAGGCCGACCTGACGCCCGCAGCCTGTAGATCCTGCAGCAGCAGCCGCAGGTCAGCTGTAGACGTTCCTTCGGTCCTTCAGTGTCACTCCTCTAGACGTTCCTTCGGACCTTCAGTGTCACTCCTCTAGACGTTCCTTCGGTCCTTCAGTGTCACTCCTCTAGTCGTTCCTTCGGACCTTCAGTGTCATTCCTCTAAACGTTCTTGCGGTCCTCTAGTGTCATTCCTCCAGACGTTCCTTCGGTCCTTTAGTGTCATTCCTCTAGTCGTTCCTTCGGACCTTCAGTGTCATTCCTCTAAACGTTCTTGCGGTCCTCTAGTGTCATTCCTCCAGACGTTCCTTCGGTCCTTTAGTGTCATTCCTCTAGTCGTTCCTTCGGACCTTCAGTGTCATTCCTCTAAACGTTCCTTCGGTCCTTTAGTGTCATTCCTCCAGACGTTCCTTCGGTCCTTCAGTGTCATTCCTACTGGCGTTTCCTGCTATTGCCTTGACAGTGCAATGTATTATTCGCAAAAAATTGACTGGCCTAGTATAGAGTCACTTTTGCTTAATATTTCGATATGCCAGGGGCACCATAAACTTTAATGTTCAATAATAACCTGAGAAGTTATCCCCTTTAAACGTTCTTCACTGTTCCCACATTAGTTCCTCAGCTAGATCTTTCACTAGTTTCTAATAGTTCCCCACTCAACCTCCCTATCTCACAGTCACCGTAAGTTTGAAAGTCAAAGCTAAAAACAAGTTTAAAGTTAAAGTTTACTCATGCGAATGAACTAACCTTTGGCCAAGAGGGGCGAGGGAAGTGATGGTGTGGGCCACCGCCTCCCAGGACCCCTCATCCGCGCCCTCTACAGACAGCAACGGCTTGGGCCACGAGGGCAGAGGCCAAGTGGGGGAGGGGGGCGGGGCAGGTAAGGGGGGCGGGAAGGGGCGCGTGTGCACCCCTGATGAATGAAAGAAAAGATAACAGTGATGACATTGTGTATGCAGAACTACACTTCTGTATACAAAGTCTTCACTTCTATATTATTATTATAATTATTCTACGAAGCCTCTATCGAGGCGTCTGGTTCAAACGAATTTCGAGGGCACGTTACACATAAAATTAATAGCAAGCGAAAAATAAATAGACACAAGAAAGGATGTAAACGGAAAATATGACTAAGCACTAGATTCATAGGCTCTACGAAATAGTTCCATCTTTAGGCGTCGACGCAACACCTGCAACAAAGGAGCCAAAGTTACGGAAGCCGGCAGACTGTTCCAGGTTCTGGCGGCGGCGACCGGGAACGCTCTGTCGCTGACGGTAGATAGACGTGTGGATGGTACTGTAGCGGGATAACTACGCTCCATGTACAAAGTTAATGGGTCTCTGCAAGCGGGCCCTAACGTACGAGGATGAATGAAAACTGATTCAGCAAATTTACAAAGGCAATAAGGTTTACTTCAACTTCATGTAAAACCGGCATCCACGACATAAGATTATCACTAAATGCATATAGGTTTACGAAAACGGACATTATATGGACATTAATTACAGATATTTACAGTCATTACAAAGTGTGGTAAGTCAGGCGAAGGTAGGCTGGCTACTAGCAATCCGCGGCTTCCCGCGAAAACTACCTAAGCATACTTTTTCTCGTCGGTCTTGGTTAGAGAGGTGCGGCGGCTGAAGAAACTAATTGCGTGGCCTAGGCTAGCCCGCTCCAGTACGACGAGGTCCGCTTTTGATGACGAACGCAGTCGTCTTCTAGAAGGCAGGTCCAACACTCGTTGCAAACCTTCCGTGAGATAAGGAGGCGCCAGACCTTAAGAGCATCGATCGGAACGTCTGAACAGCGACCTTGAAGTGCGTGCGCTGCTGAATGCGCAGCCAGTGAAGATCGCGCAATATCGGCGTCGCATGGTCGAATTTTCGCTTATTGCACACGAGTCGAGCAGCAGCGTTCATTACTGATTGCAGTTTATTAAGTGCTGTGGTCGGAAGTGCATAAAGTGTGGCCTTACCATAGTCCAATCTGGTCAGAACGAGTGCCATCACGAGGGACTTGAGGACCGGTCTTGAAAGACAGCGGCTGATGCTACGTATTCCGGCCGGAAGCTCATGCTGGCGCCGAGCAGTCGCAAACCAAATAAAGTTGGTTTTTGCTGCTTTGACCTGGAGCCGGTTAGAGCGCATCCAGTCTGAGACGGCGTCCATGCAGAAAGACATTCGATCCTGCAGCGCTGCGGCGTCAGCCGGTGCACCGTAGCCATAAATTTGCGTGTCGTCGGCGAACATATGCGGATTCAAACTATGTGAATCAATTACATGCAATACGTCTACAGTATATAACAGGAAGAAGATCGAACCAAGAACTGATCCTTGTGATACCAACGATGGCGTAGAAGAAGATTTCCCGCGTCGAACGCATTGGAATGTATTGCTGAGATGACTCGAACCATAGCAGCACTGTGCCACGCATTCCGAATGATACGTCAAGTCGACGCAATAAAGTGCCGTGGTCGACCGTGTCAAACGCGGCCGACATGTCGAGTAAAGCTAGTGCCGCAATGTCGCCGCGGTCTACTGCATGCGCGCAGAATGTCAGAAACCATCTTCAGTTTCCGTCGAGTGGAGATGACGGCATGCAGGAGGCGTGGCATGAGACCGGACTGCTGAAGGTGGTTGTTCAGCTGTCGCGCTAACACCGCGTTCCAGGAGTTTCGACGAACTTGACAGGTTGGAGATGTGTCGCTATGATTTGGGGGCGGAAGCGTCAAGATCTGTTTTATTTTTGTATGCAGATAAATGAATAATACAAAGACCACACTTCTGTATACTAAGACCACACTTCTGTATACAAAGACTACACTTTTGTACACAAAGGCGACTCACAAAGGCTTCTGTATTTGCCCTCGAGGGCGCTAAGCTCCAGGGGCGCCGCCATGTGGATGCGGAGGTCAGCGTCGCGAGCCACGGTGCTGAGGGCGGCCACCCCAGCGCCGGTGCCCACGCAGCCCACGAACTCCCCCAGCCTCACCCTGTCCACAAGGATTATAGGGTGAAGCGGGGTGATTATTAATTGTGATTAAACAATATTATAAGCATTATCTTCTAACATTAATTTCTATTGACACTTGTTGTTTACACCACCACTTGTTGTTTTAACCTATTGGGTGCTGGGACCTAGCCTGGTTCTCACCCGCTGTTGTGCAGCGGCAGGAGGATGTCGTCGTGATGATTGTATGCGTCAGTCGTGTTGAACAATATAATTAATGAAATTAACCTATATATTATTAATAACATATATATTAATGAAATTACCCTATATTTCCTACATATGGGTTAACCTGGGGTGTTGGTTCTCACCCGCTGTCGTGCAGCGGCAGGAGGATGTCGTCGTGATGATTGTAATCCTCAGTCGTGTTGAAGGATCGCAGGTCAAGGACGACCTCCGGCCGTCCATAGGTCCCCATGAGTCCTGCCACCTCGACGAGGTCACCCCACGGCGCCCCCCTCAGGTCATCCGCCCCCGCATCCACCCTCAGGCGCCGTGGCTGCGCATACTGCAGCATTGCAGCCACCACAGCCACATCGACACCTCAGGCAATGTTAAGTTTAATTAAGTTAAGTAATTGAGTGAAATTGAGTTATTGTCACCCGCCACACCAAGCATGATTGAACGTTACCCACCCATTCAATGGCAGTGAATTTCAAGCAATTTAAGTAAAAGGAGCCCACTTCACCCATCAACTTACCCACCATCTTACCCATCATCTCACCCACCGTCACCCAACGTCACCCACCATCACCCACCAGCCATGACGACCCATGCCTGGGTGAGATCAGTGAGGGCGGCGAGCTCGGCCATCTGAGGCACGTCGGGGCAACGCCGGACGCAGTCCCTTACGGCGCCGAAGGTGGTGACATCAGCATGGCGCAGCGCATCCTTCAGCTCCTGCCAGTGTTGGCTGAATTTGATAGAATCTTCATCGTGCAGCAGCTGAACCACGCACAGCAGCACCTCATATAAGCTGGGGGAGGCGGGGGTGAAATGCTGGTTCGGTGCTGACACCACACGGAGACTTTTGTAGACCCGAAAATCTAATTCCATTTCTTATGTGAGAAGCATACTTCAGGCAATTGGATGAATAAATTCAGAAAATAGATAATTTAATAGTTAAATAAAGTGAAATGAAAATTAAATTAACAAATAATAACTTAAATTAAACAATATTGTTGACACAATCATATTCTGCCACTTTGTTTGATCTCAAGTTGTCACTAACCCGAGAAACTGGATTAATTTAAATCAAAATATAATTAAATAAACTACACTTCACTATTGCTGGTACATGAAATTGTAGACTTACCTTGGACATGTCTCATCAGTTACTCCCAGGTCTGTGAGACAAGGATTGTTTGCCTTCAGCATTTCTTCAGTAATGTAATGCGCTGCTAATCTCTCCTGCGTGGACTTATGCGCAAAGGAGTAGGTTGTGCCTGCGCTCCCTGACAGCGATCGCTTCACTTTAAGCATGACGTTGAGGAACACGCCAGCGTCAACGCCTTGGCAGTAAAAGTTGATTTTGTCGCAACATTTGCGCAGCAACCGCACGCGTTCAGCGTCGGTAAATGTCATCTTGTTACAGCAGAGAAACTCTAGCGAACACTTGCCAAAAACCATGAAGAGGTCGTCAATTAAAACATCGTTGTTGGGGGCACCGATGCTGATGAGCTTGGCAGCAACGATGGTCTTTTGTAACTGCAATGTGTCCCGCGACACATCGTTGAAGCTCCTCCAACGGTCAATCTTTTCTGGAGTCTCTTTGTAAATAGAGCAGAAGTGCAGCAACGATATTGGCTCCGTGAAAAGTTGTCGTAATTGCGGATCAAGTTTGGAAAATCGTTCCTGCATCGCTTGTGAGGGAGTAGGAGCAGGGAATAGAACTTGTTCATACCTCGCAATGAACGCTAACTGTTCCGATAACTCTGTTAGAGGCGATATCTTGTACTGTGATAGTTTGCGGTGATTTTGTGCAATTAATTTCTTCAGATCTTCGACAGTATGTGGGCGAGTAGTGAACAAAATACGAGAGTTTGAGTGCCAGGTTTTCTTCAACAGCTCCTCCAAAACTGCCGTCGATATTGTGTTTTTTTCATCGAATCCATCGACCAGGAACAGCACATGGAGCTGCTTGAGGGCTTGCAGAACTTTATCCTCGCCTCCTAATTTCAAGCAAAAATTGTCTCCAAAATGTTGCCTAGCGACTTGTTGTAAACTTTTCGTTGTTCTGTCCCTGCACTCGATGTATAAGAGGACTTCATAGCCCTGCAAGTAAGGCGCTGCGTTAAACTGAAGTATAATGTTCAAGAGAAGAGTCGTCTTTCCAGCGCCCGCTTCGCCTGAAACCAGAACTATTTCTTCATTTGAAGATTTGAACAAGTCTTGAAAATGAAGCTTGTTGCTTCTCTCGTCTTGTAGCATCACCTCCAGTGGGTGGAACACTTCAGTCCTTTTAACGTAGCCCATATCAAAGTTCAAAGCTTCTTCAGCGTAATCGTGGAAAAACTTATTTGTAATTGTTATCCCTTCAGCCAGTACACAATGACAGTGGTAAGCTAACTCGCTGCAACCAGGAGAAAAACCGCAGTTTATTTCGAGTTGTAGCTCTCGTTCCATAATGTTAATCTCGCTCACAGAACCGGGGTAAAACAACTTAGCTTCTTCGATCAGGTCAAACAATTTGGTTTGGATTACACCAAACTTTGTTGGGTCGTTCACTGAAGAGAGGTTATGCATGACATCATTTCTCACATTAGTGATCTCTCGCACTTTGTTCAATAGCTCCGTAAAGTCCCTCCCATCATCTTTAACTTTGAAAATACAGTTAAGAAGAGCGTTTAGTGCAGACATGTCCATTTTATCGGCAGTCGTGGCACTTTCAAAAGTTTTGTAGGAGAACCCACACATCTTCTTCAAAGCAGCTCGCGATAAAACGCTGGGTTTTCGATGTCTCTCCATGTAGACCATGTACGTCTCAGCAGGGTTTTTGTCGCTACATTCAATGTTTAAGATTTTACTCGCATATTTGGGACAAAGATCCAAAATGCCTTCCACGTTGTCGCTGATTGTTTCCATTTTCTGGTAGCGGGAGGCCGAACTGGGCGCTGGGGTGCCGGCTGCAGAGGACGCCATCTTGCTGGTGTACCCTGGAACATAAGTCCTGTTGAAATATAAATTCTGTTGAAACATAAATTCTGTTGAAGCAGAAATTCTGTTGGAACTTAAATTCTGTTGAAACATAAATTTTGTTGAAACTTAAATTCTGTTGAAAAATAAATTGTGTGAGACAGAAATTCTGTTGAAACTTAAATTCTGTTGAAAGTTGAATTCTGTGAAACATAAATTGCGTGAGACAGAAATTCTGTTGAAACATAAATTGTGTGAGACTGAAATTATGTTGAAATATAAATTCTGTTGAAACTTGAATTATGTTGAAACATAAATCATATGTGAGACAGAAATTCTGTTGAAACTTAAATTCTGTTGAAACTTGAATTCTGTGAAACATAAATTGCGTGAGACAGAAATTCTGTTGAAACATAAACTCTATTGAAACACTCCGTGCGGCTGGTGATATTCTTATTTTATTTATTTACTGAAATAATTCGACGTTACTTCAAACATTAATAGCATCGATAATAACATTGCCATTAACATTGATGTTACCATCGAAGCGAACATCATTATCAACATCGATATTAATATTGATATTAATATAGGTTTTAGAATTAGCAAATGGAGTTCTTCTTTTGCGTTGTCTTCAACATTTAGATGACACAGTTGACCTGAATATTTTATGAATGAATACCTATTATAAATATTAAAAAAATTTATTATATACTTTTAAAGTCATTGCTTTTTGAAGTTCTGCTAATTACCACATTAATTTTATTGCATCTTATGGTACTTGGTCGTAGAGAAGCGATCCTGCCGTGCTTGTTTATATATAATTACTTAATACAGCGTTACAGTGTTGCACACGCAATACGCAAAATAATTTATACATGTTCATGATATTGTGTTGAAGGAACTCACGTCTCGTAACTAAAGGAAACCTATTAATTTAAATAATTATCGTACACACAGTCATGTGTAATTTAAGTCTTCACGATTAACTGGCCTATTATTGGTCAACTGCCAGTTGTTATCAACTGTTATAGAGCAGCAAAGCTTTTCAACTCACAATAATTGAAGAAATAATCTAAATGAAATTGGAACATACAGCTAATTTTGCGGCTACACAGAACACGAACCAATATTTTGGTTCGTGTTTTCACACCTGGCGGTTCACCATATATAAGAGTTTATATAGGAGCTTGCTGGTTCTAATTAAGATGTCGCTACGTTAATAGTGAAAGAAAATTAGCTTCCAGTTTATGGTAGAAGTTATACGGTGAAAGTGTTTCTCCGTCATCAGTACAAACATTCAGACAATAGAGCAACAACTAATACAGAATAAATATGAAATTAGTTGAGGTTTTTTTCGCCTTTATGTTTTTACTAGACTTACCTTTTAATCAACTAAAAAAGACATCCAGCTCTCAAACACGAGTTTCAGTCGCCAAGTCTACCGTCAAGTCCCAGTCGCCATCCACCAAGCAAATGTCATAAATTGAACTTCACTTTCTACTAATTTCACCATTTAATAGATCTGCACAATGGAACAATTTAAAGTAACTGCATATTCTCATAGTTACTGTAAAATAATAGCAATCCTCTGTTATTTTTCAGTCGATGAGAAGAATTTTTAATAAATAATTATATATAATAAATCGATGTTTTAATAAATAACAACAAAATTTTTTACCTGGCACAAAAGAATGATTGACAGTCGCAATCCACTCCCGCTGCGCCGCGTCTCTACAGTCTGCAAAGTCTGCAAGCTTCATGAGAGTCTGCAAGCTTTATGAGAGTCTGCAAGCTTCATGAGAGTCTGCAAGCTTCATGAGAGTCTGCAAGCTCCATGAGAGTCTGCAAGCTTCACAAGAGTCTGCAAGCTTCACGAGAGTCTGCAAGCTTCACGAGAGTCTGCAAGCTTCATGAGAGTCTGCTAGCTTCATGAGAGTCTGCAAACTTCATGAGAGTCTGCAAGCTTCATGAGGTCTGCAAGCTTCATGAGAGTCTGCAAGCTTCATGAGAGTCTGCAAGCTTCATGAGAGTCTGCAAGCTTCATGAGAGTCTGCTATCGCTTCTTCGTCACATTATTTTCATGGAGTTTCTGAAGCAACATTTTCCTCGAGTGTGATTAAAGGATATAAAAATGTGGCATAAACTTCTCCTATCACATTGCAAGGAGTGACTCAAGGCAGCCATGTTATCTGTAGAGGTCTGCGTGATAATATTTACTGATGACGACCGCATGTGCCTGCACCGCTGCGTTGGACTTCACACAGCGTGAACGCGGGCAGTACTTCAGAAGTTCACACAAACATGAATGCAGACTTGTATTTACTGAAAAAATAAGACACCGCCATATTCTCCCACTTCCTATAAACATGCACGGAAACGGCGTTTATAAACGTTCAGTAGGCGATATTATTTAACACCAATAGACAGCTTGAGTTGTGGAGGCAGTGAGAACACCCAAGCCGCTGGAGCGACACTGACACATGACGTACATCCTCCCTCCCGTCACGCGGCGCACTGAACGCTTGGTCGCCTTGTGGCCTTGCCCTTGGTGCCTTGGTCCACTGGCGCAGACTGCAGTGGTTGATAGCAATGTTGACATATAATGCCGAGAGAAATCGGCCAAATTAACTCAAAAAATGTCAAAATCGGCCAAAATGCCAGTATTGGTAACTTTGTATCTTGAAGCTCAACAATTCAATTTTCTATGTTATGTTATGTTATGTTATGTTATGTTATGTTATGTTATGTTATGTTATGTTATGTTATGTTATGTTATGTTATGTTATATTATGTTATGTTATACATTTTAGGCCAGTATTGATTTTTGCCGGCCAGCACACTTGAAAAAAACTCAAATAGTCCAATTTGGCCGGAAAAAGGCCCAACTGGCAGCCCTGGCTGATTGCTGCGTAAGCCAGCCGGGCAGCCACATGGCTGATGCCAAAGGGATGTGGACATGTGGCGTCGTGTTTAGCCGCGGCTGGCGGTGGCAGGTGGCATGGACATGTCGTGATCCTCTCGTAATATCCATCATTTTATGGTCTCTTCCGAGCTGTACCACGCCAGCGACTGCAATGTAACGTGGTGTTGAGGTGATAGGTTGTCGCCACGCTTGACCGTCATATCATAGGAATTCTTTTGGTACGAATAACATTGTTAAACTCCACTTGGTAATGAAGGCAGGCATTGAGCAGCAACGGCCACGTGCTTACTATGGCGCAGGTTACGAAAAGCCTTGCAGTGATTGCACATTTGTAGCCTTACAATACTACCCTTTCAGTGACAAGCTGTCAGCATTTCATTAATTGGTCTTCAACTTTAGCCTTTCGGAAACTACCCTTCAAATTTTCAATATCTCAGTCCCACAACATATTATTCTGTTTTCAGGATCCATTTATTAACATTGCCCGCTTCTTTGATGGATAATGTTTCCTCTCACCCAATGCCTGCAAATTGCCGTGAACCCGCAAATCAAGTCATTGTAATAGCTTCAACGATATTAATCTCAACGTTACTCACTATTTTTTATGTATTGGAAGCCCGTCCTTACCATTACCTCGAACACAACCCGGTTTCAGTGGGGGAAATAGGCTTCGTCATTATCTTCAACTAAATTTTATTGTCAACCACAATCTAACCACCAACTGGGCCAACCCATCAGCAACCAAGCTTCATCGTTCAGCATCGGTCATCCCATGTTTAACAGCTCCATGTGTGTAGATTTTTCTGATGACTATATATATATATAGCTGCCAGTAAGAGATTTCAGTGCTACTTATAAATTCACGAAATCAGAGGTAAAAGAATTATCAAATAAATACTAGGTGAAAATTCATGCATTGAAATCAAAATGACCGTTTTAATTCAATGATATTCTCTTTCTAATATGATTGAAACTTTTTTTTATTGGCTATTCATCCAAACTCAGTTAGCTCGGAGGCGTTACGCCAGAGATTGTGTTTCACAGATTTATTTTTCAATTCTTCTTTTTTCTTTCAATTTTGAAGAAGAAGGAGTTATATTTGCCCAACAACTCGTAGCCTGTTATGCATCTATACATAATTTGGTCCCAGGTTAATGTGTTTTGTTCACAATGATACTGCACTTTGCTGTGTGTCATATTCAGCCAAGTGAGTTAAAGAATGATTTAGCTTGTGCTCTAACAATTCCTAATGAATGTCTCTTTCTTGCAGTGCTAAGTAGATTTATATCATCAACTCAATATACTCATTATTCGAATGTAGTGTTGATTTATATATTATGTTTCATGAGCCCTGAGCTCTACAGGGTCTTCCAGGTGAAATGTGTTTTGAAGCGGTAGGCGCAACGCAATGCCTGTAATAAATGTAAGTCATCAATGTGGTAGATGAATGATTTGATAATCAAATTAGTTACGCTGGGACTCGTCGCTTTACAATCTAGCGAAAGGCCGAAAGCCCATCTGTCAATCCACAAGAGATCAACGTGTCAGTAAATTTCAGTCTCTCCTAAAAAGAGTTTTTTTTTCTTGAGAAAATAACCGTAGGGGAGACTATGCTAGGATATGGTCTCGGAACTTTTCTCCATTTTAATACATTTTTACATCACACTCGAGCCACGACGCCCTAGAAACGAACCAGCTAATCACAACTTCACAAGATAACTGATTTTTCTTTCATTTTGCAACTTTTCTGTAGCATGTAGTCAACATAATTATCGTTTATAAATCAAACAATCAGAAGTCCATTGAGTATTCAATGGCTTATGAAGCGACCCATTATATATTTATAAGAAATGGAACCAATCACATTAAAATCAGAACTATAGCAATTGAAAATGGAATAGCCCTGATATTAACTTTTATGTACAAGTCAGGAAAATATTTTAAATCCGATAATAATTAAATATATTCTGAAAAACACTTCAAGTGTCATTGATTTTTCTTGAGTTTACTCATGTATATGCTCAAAATATGATACATTTATTTTGTCTCTCATGTCAAACGCAACAAACATAAAATATGTCACTACGATCAAATTCCTTTTTTGTCTTGAAAATAAGTTTTTTTTTTTATCAAATTAGAAACTATATCCATGTTGATTCTGTGCTGGTAGTTGCGACACTGGACTAAAATATGACTCATTTTTTTTACCGTCCAGATATTGGAATAAGATAGTTATAGTTAAGCATGAATTTTCTACGAAGTCTCAGACTTTTAAGGTAGTGTTCGGTATTCTCGTGTCGGTTGCGTCTACGTTTAAAATTAAATGTAATATTGGGTAATATATAAAAAAATATATAAGAGCCACTGTCATCGCCCTGATGATCGGCTAAATATCTGATAGAACGCTTATTATTGCGGAGTAACGACGAATCTTGGTGGGCGTTTAGATACTATCGAAGGTTTCTTGTGCACGCACACAAGCAACACAAATGACAGTTTTGAAGCGCATGTCATTCATTATCTTCAGCCATTTGTGTTAAAAGGTTGAATTCCAAACTCATCATTCCCTCTATTTACATAGCTCGCCCCTTTGGAGTAAAATGTTTCCCCGCACCCAATGCCTGTAAATTAGCTGCAAATCAAGGCAATGTGTTCGCATAATTCAATGAGAAGAAAATGAATCGCACATGATGAGGTATATTGAAATCGATTATTTATTCGTCAAAGTTCTAGTCATTAAAAAAAATATATGGAAGTTTATAGAGTTCTAATATAATTTAATAGGGCTCTAATCTTGGCACTTATGATAAATTGAATATTATTTTTAAACCCAGTTAAAAAAGTTTATTCAATTATCCAGGCAGACTGTACATCCGAATTGTAAGATACTAGATGATTGATTTTTCACAGACATGTCGCTTTTATTTAAAGTTTATAAAAAAATACAAATATAAACTTTAAATTCAGTAATTTTAACAAATTAGAAACAGCATTAATGTTGTCTGTGCTCTAGGAGTCACAAAATTGAACTGAAATAAATAGTAAATTTGATGACCATCATTATATCGGAATAGTTAAGTCAGGAATGAAATCTCAACAGAATTTCAGATTTTCAACGCAGTGTTCAGTATTCTCATGTCGGGTGTGAAAACGTTATGGAATATTGCAGAGCAAGAATTCACTGAGTGCACTGTTGAGTGATAAGTATTTATGAAACCCGAGCAGTCGTCAGCCTGGCGATGGGTTAAGTGATGAGAAAACGTCGTGCTGTACCCGCATTAATATGAATAGGATCAACTTTCTAGTGTATCGTCAAAGCGACAATTAAGGCGTCCATATAATTTTATCTGATATAATATTCAAGCTATAAGTATGAAGGTGCCGAGCGTAGTCACAACCGATCCGAGTATATTGAACACTACAAGTAAAGTCTTCGACTTTGTAGAAATTGTACTTCGTGGAAAAAACTTGCTAATTATCTCATCTTTTGACGGTAAAATGAAAGATAAATTTTAGTCCAATGTCGCAACTGCGATCACAGAGGCAACATGAATATAGTTTATAATTTTATTTCAAAAACTCATTTTGAAGACAAAAATGG